TGGTGGAAATTAACCAAGAGCCCGTGTAGGGTGATTCGGTTAGTCCCTGGGGTCGGATGGCCAGTCTGGCTTCCTGGCATACTGATACCCAAGTTGAATTCTGAATGGTGATTGGCAAGGGAGAGAGATCCACTTATTTCCCATTCTTTTCTGTGAAACCGTTGTCTGTGACCCATGTTTTTCCCGAGCTTGAGCTAAAATTTCTGACGCATTCTTGGTGCGTTTGTCTTCCCATCTGCTGATCCCTCACCTCCGCCTCACACTGCAGTCTCCCCCTGCACACACACAGAGCTTGACTGGAAGATGGATGATTCATGTCCTGGGTCTAACAACACTGTCCTGTTCATCTGTCTCATTCCTGGCCTTGCTAGTTCATAATCCTAAGCCCAGTAGCCTTCAGGAGGAGTCTAATTCCTTGCCCCTTTTTTGTTTTATTTTGCTTTCTTCTAGGTGGCCCCCCACCTCCTACTGCCAGCCAGTCTGCCTCTGTGAGTATCCCAGGGAGTCTGCCCTCTAGTACACCCTACACCATGCCTCCAGAGCCGACCCTTTCCCAGAACCCACTGTCTATCATGATGTCTCGAATGTCCAAGTTTGCAATGCCCAGTTCTACCCCGTTGTACCATGACGCCATCAAGACTGTGGCCAGCTCAGATGACGACTCCCCTCCAGCTCGTTCTCCCAACTTGCCATCAATGAATAATATGCCAGGTAAGAAATCAGGAAGGTAGGATCTGGAGCTAGTGCTCGACAAAAGAAGAAACTTCTCCAAGTGTTTTCTTGATGGCTGTAGACCTCAAGAGCTGGAAACTGACCAAGCTGAAAAAGTACAGCATCTAAGTTAGCCAGGGTCTTGACTAGAGGAAGTGAACGGTAACAAGCTTTTATTGGCTTCATTCAGTGTTTGTTGACAAGAAAGCAGGTTTCTTAATAGTTCTTACAGTTTTCTTGTAGAAGTTCTGGTGCTTCCGTGTACCTGGATGCTCTTTTAGGGTAGGGGGAGGGTCTCCTGGAGCAAGACTGAAAGCAGCATCTTTTTAACATGCTGATTGGAATGTCTTTAGTCCACAAATATTTTCCTGGAAGGGCGGCCTCAAACCACAAGCAGCCGCAGGATTTCAGACAGTGGAAAGCCCCTGTTTCCTAGAGAAGCACTTTCTCTAGAGAGAAAAGCCCCTGTTTCCTAGAGAAGCACTTTCTCTAGAGAGAGAAGGCTCCTGCCTTCCCTCCTCCTCCTGTGCTGCTTCACTCCCGCACCTCCCGCCTGCCCAGATCGCACTGGCAGGAAGCGGTCTGGGGTGGCGAAGGTGATCGGCGGGGAGACCAGGCCTTCTCCGCCATGGGGTTCTGGTTCCAGTTCCGTCTTGATTGTTGGGGATGTCCTTTACTTACCATCACTCAGTTTAGCTCGTGGCCAGCACAGGCCCCGTCCCTTCCGTGCTCAGCAGTTAACTCCATGAAGAGACTGAGTATTTAAGTGTCCCGGAGGCCAGAGTGGAACCTGTGTGCTTTCCTTTTCCATTAAAAGTTAGCTTTCCTTCAACACGTCACACGACCTGGGGTTTGAAGCGCTCTCTCTGTGAGTCAGTGTGAAGTGATGAAGCCGAATGTCAGCCGCAAGGGGACTGCGCGCTTTGCTCACGGTTGCTTCTGATTCCTGGCCTTGCAGGGCGGTTTAATCCTCTTCTTCCGCAAAGGGCCGCACCAGGTCGTCCAGGCAGGTCGTTTTGCTCTATGTTAAATCTCTCCAGCGAAGAAGACTGCTCGTTTGCATACCAGCCTGTAACTTTTCACACGGGAGACTCTTCCTAGCTGTCTTCCGTGCATCTCTGTGCCACGCAGTTGAAGACCCGTAGCCACTGTCTTGTGGAGCCGCTGGTCTGTGCGCTCCAGGATGCACTCGCGTCTCACTGGGGCGGAGGTTGCGCAGTGTGTAGTTCCCCCAGCACAGTGCCACGCACCTTTGGTGCAGAGTAGTTTTTCTGTTACTTTGATTGATTGTATGTTTCTGAGTTGCTTTTGGTTGAGTTGATCCCTCTGATATCTTTATTTTTCTAGGAATGGGCATTAACACACAGAATCCTCGAATTTCAGGTCCAAATCCCGTGGTTCCAATGCCAACCCTCAGCCCAATGGGAATGACCCAGCCACTTTCTCACTCCAATCAGATGCCCTCTCCGAATGCCATGGGACCCAACATACCTCCTCACGGGGTCCCGATGGGGCCTGGCTTGATGTCACACAACCCTGTCATGGGGCACGGGTCCCAGGAGCCTCCGATGGTGCCTCAAGGACGGATGGGCTTCCCGCAGGGCTTCCCCCCAGTGCAGTCTCCTCCGCAGCAGGTTCCGTTCCCGCACAATGGCCCCAGTGGAGGGCAGGGCAGCTTCCCAGGAGGCATGGGTTTCCCTGGAGAAGGGCCCCTTGGCCGCCCCAGCAACCTGCCCCAAAGTTCAGCAGATGCAGCACTTTGCAAGCCTGGAGGCCCGGGGGGGTCCTGACTCCTTCGCTGTCCTGGGGAACAGCATGCCTTCAGTGTTTACAGACCCAGATCTACAGGAGGTCATCCGACCTGGAGCCACCGGAATACCTGAGTTCGATCTGTCTCGCATTATTCCTTCTGAGAAGCCTAGCCAGACACTGCAATATTTCCCTCGAGGGGAAGTCCCAGGCCGTAAACAGCCCCAGGGTCCTGGACCTGGGTTTTCGCACATGCAGGGGATGATGGGTGAACAAGCCCCCAGAATGGGACTAGCGTTACCTGGCATGGGAGGTCCAGGGCCAGTGGGAACTCCGGACATCCCTCTCGGGACGGCGCCATCCATGCCAGGCCACAGCCCAATGAGACCACCAGCCTTTCTCCAGCAAGGCATGATGGGACCTCACCATCGGATGATGTCACCAGCACAATCGACGATGCCCGGCCAGCCCACCCTGATGAGCAATCCCGCTGCTGCCGTGGGCATGATTCCTGGCAAGGATCGGGGGCCTGCCGGGCTCTACACCCACCCTGGGCCTGTGGGCTCTCCAGGCATGATGATGTCCATGCAGGGCATGATGGGACCCCAACAGAACATCATGATCCCCCCGCAGATGAGGCCCCGGGGCATGGCCGCCGACGTGGGCATGGGTGGATTTAGCCAAGGACCTGGCAACCCAGGAAACATGATGTTTTAAGCTGCTAAGATTGGATGTGCCGATCCTCGTCAAGATGAGATTCCAGGTCCTGAGAGCTGCTTTGCGGGGGTTCCAGGAGTACTGCTGGTCATGCAATAGGAGAGCAGAGACCCAAGGGCTGCTTTGGGGGAGGGGGGAACTCGAGAATGTATGGATTTATCTGAAAACAAATTATTCATTTAATCAACAGGTGTGTTTTTTTTAAGATTTATTTTTTAAAAATTATTTTTGTGGACTTGGGTATCCCATGATGGCACCTACTTTTGGGAATCTGTAGCCGTGCTTTGAGAAATGCCATCGGTCATGTGTTGCACCGTTCTCTGTATGTTTACGTCCTTTGGACTGGCTTCTCCCAGGATTCTTTTCTGGTTCTGTTTTTGCTTTGGGCTTTATTTTTTGTGTACTGTACTATATTGTAAAAGGGATTTTAGCAGAGACTTTAGTCTTTGGGACAAGAGGAGAACAGGAATGCTGGGCTGTTTACTTTAGGTGGAGAATCCATCTTCAGACCTTTGGACTATTTTCTTTCAACTCCAGTGTATAGAAAAACCAAACTACGACCTCAGAGCAGAGTATTAATGAAAAGCACAAAAAAAGGAACTAAGTTCAGCAAGGGGTGGGGGGAGGGGGGAAATTTTTCTTTTTAAAAATAATGACGCTTAGGACATTCGATTTTCAGTTCAAGTGCTCTTCAGCACTGTCCGCCTCTCCTGATCTCCAGACCACCTTCATGGTTTCCTCTTGTTTTCCCTCCCGCCTCCTTCCCTGTCTTCTGGGCTAAATGAGTTTCCTCCTGTGGTGCCCCCACTGGTGACCCCTTGCTTCCCTCTCTTTTTCCCTTTGGCAGCTGCAATACACGGCGTGATTTGGGGGAAATAAATCTAGCGCAGCCTCGCCTTCCCTGCCGAGCGTCGTCCTGGCTCCGGGAGGGAAAGGCCTGTCTTTGGGATGCTCCATGGTCTTCTTTGCCCTCATCTTTACTTCCCCAGCCTCCCCTTCCCTGCTCACCTGGTTTTCTGTTCTCCTTTTATTAGGAATTCCCAAGTGGATTTTATTAATGTGGGAGTGGAACAGATGCTAAAAGCTATCCAGGATTTTGTTTTTGTTTTTAATTTTGTGGTTCCTTCCCTTGCCTCCCCCTCCCATGCGTAAAACGTTCTGTGTAACCTCCATTAAATTTGGTACAAAACCACTCACCAGAGCTGTGGTGTCAGAAAAATAAAATATATTGTTTCTTACAAAATTGAACCGCCTTTTTTGTCCATTTGGAGCCCTGTTTGTTTAGTGTTGGGCGTGTCAGTTGCCGTGCAACCCAGAAGCATAGCATCTCTGTGTTGGAGCTGGTCAGTAGGGTGAAGGTGAGGGGATGTGTATGAAGGTGCTTCTGCAGGCGAAGCGCACTCTGGCTGGTGAGGAAGACCCGCTCGTGTAGATTGATCCTGCTGCTCCTGTATCGGTCATGAAATCCTGGCACCGCTGCTCCCCATTGCCGGACTCTACCTCTAGGAGCAATTCTTTACTAGGAATTTATGTGAGAGCCAATATAATGGTGTGAAGTAATTAAGAAGGCCAGAGGGTTTTTTTTTTTTAGTCATTTGAAAAGCTATGAAATGTCCCTGGATCTTGTGAAGGCAAGATATTCCTGTACCTGCAAATCATGGGTTTCCACCATCTGTGGGTTTCTGTGGTCTGTTCTCCGCCCCTCGGCCCGCGCCGTCGCTGCCTGTCCAGCATCCCTTTGCCGGCCCCGCTCAGTCTACACAGTTCCCCCACCGCACACGCCTCCAGCAAGGCGGTGTGTATTCTGCAAGGTGCGTGTCTGAGGGACCAGCTGTTTGTGTTCTGTGCAGTTAGATTTGTTCCGATGTGTGTATTTCTCTGGGTTGCAGGCGTCCAGCTGAGTGAGCAGGCATCTGTGTGTGCTTGTTCGCAGGTGAGGGCGCCGGAGCGGGGACGGCAGGTGTGGGCAGAGCCGGCTGCAGGCCGCCGCGCGCAGATCGGGCTCTGCGGGCATCCCATGCGATGTTTTACCTCCGCGTGTTTCTCTCTCTGAGAAGTGTTTGGAGAGCCATTGTCTCTTCCTCCTTCAGTAGTCCTGCCTTCTCAAGAGCCCCAGACCACAAAAGTGAGGAGATTTGATTTGAGCCCCTGCTCCACCAGCCGCCTCCACTCCAGGTGCATTCTCTTGCTAATTTTTGCGGGGCCCTAGGAAGTAGGTAGTAATCATCTCATTTGCAGATGAGAAAACTGAGCTCACTAGTTTAAGAATTCCTGACGCAATCAGATCTTTTCAGATGGTGCTTGGCAGTGAAAATTTTATGTTGTGGAGAAGTTAGAAGAGTAAAACAGGGATTTTGTTTCATAAATTTAGCCCGATTCCTAGGTTCTCCAGCTGTGAAATACACAGATGAGAACAGGGCAACAGCGAAGCATGGGGATCATGAGATGACAGCCCTCAATAACTAAGGAAGGTTGGGACCTGGCACTTGTCCACTGGTCTGGCTTCTTGGGCAGCCCCTCCCTGCTGCTTCCAATAGTGCTGTGGTCACTGGTGGTGTGTGGTCCCTTTGCTACCATCCCAAGGAGGGAGCGAAAGGCTGGCAGGAGCCTTGTGGACCCCTGCTGGGAAAGGCTAGAGCTATGGCACTTTGCACGTGCCGCCCCCTACTGGAGAGCTTGCAGCAGTGCAAGTCAGCTTACCCATTTCAAAGCAGTTGAGTTTGGAAAAGACACCTTCACAAATCTTCATTCATTTACATTGTCAGCGTATACCAGCATTTCATCATGATGACATCTGACAAACTAAGTTCGCTTGGGGTTGAAATGTAACAATTTCTAATTGGCTAATCTTGCTATGAAATAAAATCACATTTTATTTTGCATGGAGAACTAATGATGCAAGATTTAAAAAAAAAATCAGTGAAAGGGTGATAAAGATGTTTCATGGTGACATAATCCTGTGAAAGCCAGCCAGTCTCTCCCACCTCTGACCCTCCTGAAACTTCGGGATTAAATGGAGGAAATGCAATAATGTTGTGCTGTTACTTCATTTCAGGGGTTAGTGGTGAGGTGTGGATCATAGCGTTATTTCTTAAGGACTAGTGAGTATGTAGTATTTTCCCTAAAGCAATGTGAAGTCAAATTATTTACTTTTTAAAAGAATCTGTATTTATAAAGGAAAACAAACAAGCAAACATAACTGGGGTCTTAGAGGGTTGGGGGTAAGAGAAAGTAATAAATTCTAAAATAATTTTACATATTTTAAAGCTACTCTTTAAAAAACTGAGCCCAAATTTCTCCCCGCCTCCCTGCTCTCACGCCCTTGATGATGTGGTTGTGATGCAACTGCTGTCTTCGGGGCAGCTTCCTGGGCTTGGCTCAGTGCTCTGCTGTCACCTTTTGAAATTCTTAATAATCTTTGAACAGGGGCCCCACAAGTCCACTTGGCACCAGGCCCCACCCTGGCTGTTGTGAACAAGGAACGCCGCAGCAGCTCCGCAGTGGTGCTGGGGTCCTGGTCTCTGTCCTGTCTCTTGCTTTCCCCTTCCCGGTGGCCGGGGTGCCCCAGGCCGGGTGGCTGCTGTGTTCCGTTTAAGCTGCCTACACTTTGGTCACTTCCTTTTCCTTTTCTGAGTGCTTTCAAACTGCTGAGAGGAGAGGAGAGCTGTATTCAACCCAAGGGCTCATGTACTCAGTAACACTGAGAGATGCCTGTTGTGTGCAAGAACTTTGTGAAGGCCGGACTGAGGGAACGCAGGTGGAAATTGCTCGGTACAATGAGATGCGATCACTGCCGCAGTGAAGGTGCGGGCTGAGTGCCACCGCCCCAAGAGGAAGGTACAGTGAGACCTCTACAAAGCTGGTTTTGCCTTTACCCTGGAAGGAGGGAGCACTTGAGGGTGGTGGTGGGCTTTTAAATGGGAAGCGGGGGCAGCAAAGCCCTGCCCGTTGAAGTGGGGTGGGTTCTTCAAGGGAGGTGGAGATAAGAAATTAGCCCAGGGAGAGAGAGAGAGAGAGAGAGAGAGAGAGAGAGCAGGTCACAGGGGAACCCAGTGTGACCCACGGAGTTTGAACCTCGAAGTTTTAAGCCAGGGAATCTGGTGATCACATTGGCTCTGCAGAAAGATGTCTGTGCTGGGGGAGGGCTGGGGGTGGAGGACAGGCCAGGGGTGGAGGACAGGCTGGGGGTGGAGAACAGGCCGGGGGTGGAGGACAGGCTTGGGGGCGGTGATGGAGCCACAGGAAGATCACTTGCAGAAACTCGCTTATTCTATCAAATCTTTCAACTCGCAGGCTCATCAGTTTTGCTTTAAAAATATCAAACTGCATCATATTTCTTATGCCGTTTAAATAGCTCGAGACTCCTGCCCCTTTCTTGTCCCTAGACCAGTAATTTTTTCCCAGTCACAAACCCTTATATTTAAGAAAAGTCATGGAATCTTAATTTGGTGGTAAAATTTTAATGACACATTTAAAGCAAACAGTTTATAAAGCACAAAAACCAGTCTGTGGCCAAACATTTTCCATTGGAGGGAGTTAAATAATGAACTAAGTTTAAAAGAAGGCATGCTATGAGGGTTGTTTAAATACAAAAGCCTCTCTCTCCCTGACTCAGCTCCTTATCTGGGTCACCATAGCAGACGCGCTCTGTCTTCTGCCTATAGGTAACCTCAGCGGTTCACCTTCTGGCTCGTGCTTAGCTGTGCTTGGCAACCAGGACTGCTAGAGGAAGACGGCCAGTCTGTGATCGTGAAAAGAAGATAAAGAGACGGCACAGACGTGAGTTCTTCACACGTATTTAGAGCGTGGAAAAACTCAGCTATTTCACCAAACACACAGGAGAACCCAGGCTTCCCTTGCAAAATCCCCCCTCAGAGCTTGAAGCAATTATGAGGACCTGGGAACAGGTGAAAAAAAAAGGAGACCCAGCCCTAGGAAAGTGCAGGTCTGCCCTGTAGCGGGGAGAGGGAGGCAGGACTGGGCAGGACTGGGCAGGGCTGGGCAGGACTGGGCGGGAATGTGACTCGGGGAAGTTCGGCTCTTCATTCTGTACCACCTGCCCACAGCTCTGTGCTACGGCCACCCTCCTCCCACCTCCTGGGGCTGGAGCTGGGGTCAAAGGCAAAAAGGACTTCATGAAAGTCCGTGGTGTTCAGTGTCCAATTAATTAGTGTTGAGGGTGGATTTAACTTTCAAGGTTTTTTTTTTTTGGCCACAGCCTAAGTTCTTTCTGTTGAACACTCCTGGGAGCCTGTGTTTATTTCTCATCTTGGCCAAGCTTTCAGGAGCTTTCATTATTCCCGCTTCCCACACAGAAACCCCACAGCTCCTCCACGAGCTGCTCTTCCTAGAGACTCCCACCCCGCCCCCTGAATCAGTCTGGTCTAAGCACATGCTTTCAGCCGTGAGTTAACAGCGCCGGAGCGCTGGCCTCTGGCTGCTCAGTCCCCGGCATCAGACCGCGCCTTGCTAGAGTGAATGTACTCAGTTACAGGGGATCATGAATTACTGATTTATTTTGTTCTCCAAACTGCAAAAGCTCCCCGAGGCTGTGGTGAAATTCTCTATTGTAGCTGTCAGTAGTTGAACTATTAAAAAATTAGTACACACACACACACAGACTTACTTATACAAGTGTATACGTACCTTTAATATACCACAGTATGTAAATAACTAAGTGGCAGTTTTGAAGTGTCAACAGACTGCTGCAAAGTCAGTCTGCTCTTCCTTGTCAATGAGCTGGAGAATCCCGAGAATTCTCCTCACTCCTGTGATACTTAGTGTCTGCAAGGCCTTTAACTATATTCATTTTTATTTAAAAGTGTAATAATACCAGTAAGGAAATATAAGAATTACTTTCATACAAAGTATGAACTAGGCCCCACTGGGCCCAGGGAAAGAAAGCACCTTTAGCACCGGCTCACGGAACCCGTGGTTTCAGCAAGGGCCCGGGAGGAGCTCTCACCATCACTCAGTCAAGGAGCACGGGGCATTCACCGCGTGTCCCGCCCTGTGCTGGGCACCATGGAGTTTCAGGGAAGTGTAACAGCTGCCTGCAAGGGCCCCACCTCTGACTGAAGAGGTGTCCGCTGGCGGGGATGCACACAGGTGTGCACCGGCAAAACACGGCCACTTCTTGTTCTCAGCATCGCCATTGTCCATGTTCATAGTCCATTTTGAATTAATTAACTAAACTAGCCAAGAAAGACAGACTAGGGCCATACCGAATGAAGTTACTGGTCTTATGATCTTGCCTCCCACCGCCTTTCCTGCACTGTCCATCTCGCCCCTTCCTTTAGCTCATGCCCGTCAGCACAGAAGCACGCCCTGGGCTTGGTCCCGGCTTTCTGCTTACTCTTCTAACTCATCTCATCACAAGTCACTAAATACCACCTGTATGATCACAAGTCTAGACTCTCTATCTCCCTCTCAGCCTGTTCCTAGGAGCTCCAGACTCACAGTCAGCTGGCACCTCTGACACTGCCTCAGGAGTGTCTTGCAGGCACCTCGAACTTAAGTCCTAAACTTAACTTCAGAATTTCCACCAAGTCTCACCCCCACCCCACTTCCCCATCACAAGAAATGACATATGTCCATCCACCTAGTTATCCTGTCACACTGGAGTCATTTTAAATTCTTTACTCCTCACATAAAACCATAAGCAAATCCTTTTATGTCTGTTTCCAAAGCACATCTTAAACCCGTCTGCCTCTCTCCACCGCGCTACTTGACGTTACCACCCACCTGGTCTATTGCACTCATTTCTTCTGCGTCCACTCTTGCTCTCCTTCAGTCTATGCTCCACATAGTAGCCAGAGTCATCTTAAAAAGCATAAATCATATACATCAGTTCCTTCCTTAAAACCCTTTAATGGCTTCCCAGTATAATTTGTATAAAATCCAGAGTCTTTAACAGGGCCTGCTGGCCCCAGGCATTCTCCGGTTTCACCTCACGTGCTTCTCCCATCACTTGCTAGGATCCAGCGGAACTGTTCACTTCCAGGGTCTCCAACGTGACCCGCTCCTCCCGCTGCGGGACCCTCACACACTCTGGTTTCCTGCACTGCATGCTCTCCACTCTGGCCCTCCTGGTGGCTGACTCCTTCACACCTTTCAGCTCTCAGCGTCTTTGTTACCTCCCCAGAAAGGCCTTTTCTCATCACCCCATCAAAGCACCCACCCATCCCCAACAGACACACACACACACACACCTCATCATTATGTAGCAAAATGTCTTGTTTATGTCATTATTTATAGCAATTATTTATCCTCTCACCCACTCCATGAAGGCAGGAACCAGTTTCCTGGCTCACTGCTTGTTCATCTAGCGTTGCACCTGCATCCTGAGAGGGCTCAGTAAGTATCTGGTAAATGAATGAGAGAAAGGAAGGATCTGTGTGAGCTTGGGTGGCCAGGAAAGATTCTGTGGTGGTTGCGGTACATGAGGCGGTCCTTCTAATTAAGCTGGGGGTCGGGACACCGTCGGAACGACACACATGAGGGAATGAGCATGGGAATGAGCAAGTGAAGACAGTCAGGCCAGCTGACATTGAAGGGAACAGCTTAACCAAAATAGATCATTTGAGTCACAGAATGTGAAACTTGAAAAGAGAGAAAAAGAAGAATGGCTCCCAAAACCAAGGAAAGAAATTTCATTTTGAAATGGGAAGCCACTGTTTGGTCTTGATCAGGGGAATTGCATGATAAATATTTTATAAAATGAGTCTGGCAGGGGCGTGCAGAGTAAATGGAAGGAAGCAGCCCCAAAGCGGGAAGAGCTGAGTAGCGGCTTGCACACGCTGTCCAGGGTGGAGGAGGTGAGGCTGCTGGCAGGCACGATGGAGAGTGAGGGGTGGAGCCAAGAGAGCTGTGATGGAAGAGACCCTAAGACATCATTTAGGTACTTGAGGGGAGGAGCGGGAGGGGTCAAAACTGATGTTGAGATTCTGAGACTGAGAAACTGGAAGCAAGCCAGAATCATGGTGCTGGAAAGGACCAACCGACGGGTCTACCGTGTTCCTGACAGGTATGTGAATGTCATCTGTTCTAATACTTAGAAAATTCTGCCACACAAAGAATCAGGCTTCTTTTAGCTTTTTGTCTATCCCAGTTCTGCCCCTGGGGGTAAATACAGAATAGAGACAGTCCTTATTTCAGATGCCAGTCTTTCAAATAGTTGAAAACAAGGTCTTCTGTCCTTCTTAATTTTGTTTTTCCCAGGCTAGTCCCCTTGGCCATCAGTCAAGTCCCATGAGACCTGATTTTGAGTTCCCTAACCGCTCTCACAGTTTTTTTTTAATATTTAATATATTTTATATTTTATTTAATCTTTAATACATATTAAGCAAAAGCAGTAATCAAGTTGACTTACAGTTATTCTTCTTGCAGGTCCTTTTTCCTAAATATAAAAGAGATGTTTGGGCTATTTGGTCTCTAAATTTGCTTTTTTTTTAAATTTATTTTTATTTTTTAATTGAAGTATAGTCGATTTACAATGTTGTGTTAGATTCTTTTGTGCAGCTCAGTGATTCAGCTATAAATATATATTCCTTTTCATATTCTTTTTCAATATAGGTTATTACAGTACATGGAATATAGTTCCCTGTGCTGCACAGCATGACTTTGTTGTTCGTCCGTTTTATACAGAGACAGCTCTCACAGTTTTATCCTGCTTTATTATAGTTTATAAACTCCTTGAAAGCACAATACCCAGAACCCAAGAGAACGTTTGGTGCCCGAGTGCTGTCTGATCAGCACAGAGCTCAGTGAGACTGTCACTTCCTTTTATTTGAACGTAGTTCTACTAATAGGTGAAAGTTTGTTTTTAAAGAATTCTTTTCTGCTATGGGGTCACTTTGGAATTTCAGGAAATGGAAACCCCAAGATCTTTTTCATGTAAAATAAGTCATTGCCCCAATCCTATATAATTCTTGCTTATTTTTTATCCTGAATTCCAAATTTTATGGTTATTCCTCTTTAATTTCAATATTAATTTTAATCTATTATTCCAGAATCTTAAAGTCCTTAAAAACTGGTTCTAACATTCTTGGTTCTCTCTAATTTTTGTATCAAAAGCAAAGCTGTTAAGATTTTCATCCAAGTGACAAAAGGGCCAGTATAAAATCCTGAATTACTCTTTTTTTTTTAAAACCTATTTCTTTGTACTGTGGTAAAAAAAATACCATTTTAATCATTTTTAAGTGTATAGTTCTGTGGCAATAAGTACATCATTGTGATTCAACCATCACTACCATCCATCCCCGGGACTCTTTTCATCTTGAAAAACTGAAACTCTGTACCCAATAAATAATAACTCCCCATTTCTCCCTCCCCAGCCAGCCTCTGGCCACCACCATTCGACTCCATCTCTATGAATATGACTACTCTGGGTACCTCATATAAGTGGAATTATCATATAGTACTTGTCCCTTTGTGACTGGCTTATTTTACTTAGCATAATTTCTTCAAAGTTCATCCATGTTGTAGCATGTGTGAGAATTTCCTTCCTTTTCAGGGCTGAGTAATAGTTCTTTGTGTGTATATATCCAATTTTTAAAAATCCGTTCCTCTCTCAAAGGACACTTGAGTTACTTCTACCTTTTGGCTGTTGTAAATATTGCTGCTATAAACATGGGTATACAAGTACCTGTTTGAGTCCCCACTTTAACTTTTCCTGTAAAATTTTTTTCTTTAATTAATCTTTAATGTAAGTCAACTTCTTTAACAAACAGAAGTGGAATCGCTGGATCACATGATAATTCTAAGCTTGATTTTTTTGAGGAAACTCCATATAGTTTTCCGCAGTGGTTGTACCACTTTACATTTCCACCAGGAATGTTCAAGGGAAGGGCTCCAATTTCTCTACATCCTTGTCAACACTTGTTATTTTCTGGGTTTCTTTGTTTGTTTGTTTTTTAAAATAACCATCCTAATGTGTGTGAAGTGGTTTGGGTTCGCATTTCCCTGATCAGTAGTGATGCTGAATATCATTTCATGTGCTTATGGGCCATTTGTGTATCTTATTTAGAGAAACCCATTCAAGTCCCTCACCTATTTTTGAATTGGGTTGTTTGTGTGTGTTGAGTTGTAGGAGTTCTTTAGATATTCTGGGAAACCATCCCTTATCAGATACATGATTTGTAGCCCCCATTCCGTGGGCTGCCTTTTCACTCTTCTTTTTTTATTGAAGTCTAGTCAGTTTACAATGTTGTATCAATTTCTGGTGTCCAGCATAATGTTTCAGTCATACATATACACATACATATATTTGTTTTCATATACTTTTTCATTATAGGTCACTAGAAGATACTGAATATAGTTCCCTGTGCTATACAGAAGATTAACTTGTTGTTTATCTGTTTTATATATAGTAGTTAGTATCTGCAAATTCAAACTCCCAACTTATCCCTTCCCACCCCCTATTCCCCCTGGTAACCTTAGGTTTGTTTTCCATGTCTGAGTCTGTTTTTCTTTTGTAAATAAGTTCACTCGTTTGTGTGTGTGTGTGTGTGTTTAAGATTCCACATATAAGTGATCTCATGTGGTATTTTTCTCTCTCTTTCTGGCTTACTTCCCTTAGAATGATGATCTCCAGGTCCATCCATGTTGCTGAAAATGACATTATTTTATCCTTTTTTATGGCTGAGTAGTTAGTATTCCACCATGCATATACACCACAGCTTCTTCATCCAGGCGTCTGTTGGTGGACGTTTAGGCTGTCTCCACGTCTGGGCTGTTGTAACAGTGCTGCTGTGACCACTGGGGTGCAGGTGTCTTTTTGAATTAGTTTCCTTTGGATATACACCCAGGAGTGGGATTGCTGGATCATATGGTAGGTCTATTTTCAGTCTTTTGTGGAATCTCCATACTGTTTTCCATAATGGCTACACCAAACTGCATTCCCACCAGCAGTGTAGGAGGGTTCCCCTTTCTCCACAGCCTCTCCAGCATTTGTCATTTGTGGACTTTTGAATGACGGCCATTCTGACTGGTGTGAGGTGATACCTCACTGTAGTTTTGATTTGCATTTCTCTGATAATTAGTGATATTGAGCATTTTTTCATGTGCCTATTGATCATTTATATTTCTTCCTTGGAGAATTGCTTGTTTATGTCTTCTGCCCATTTTTGGATTGGGTTGTTTTTTTCTTATTGAGTCGTATGAGCTGCTTATATATTCTGGAGATCAAGCCTTTGTCGGTTTCATTTGCAAATATTTTCTCCCATTCCGTAGGTTGTCTTTTTATTTTGCTTATGGTTTCCTTTGCTGTGTAAAAGCTTATAAGTTTAATTAGGTCCCATCTGTTTATTTTTGCTTTTATTTCTATTGCCTGGGTAGACTGCCCTAGGAGAACATTGCTAAGATTTATGTCAGAAAATGTTTTGCCTATGTTTTCTTCTAGGAGCTTTATTGTGTCTTGTCTTATGTTTAAGTCTTTAAGCCATTTTGAGTTTATTTTTGTGTCTGGTGTAAGGGAGTGTCCTAACTCTGCTGATTTACACGTGGCTGTCCAGTTTTCCCAACACAACTTGCTGAAGAGACTGTCTTTCCTCTACTGTATATTCTTGCCTCTTTTGTCAACAATTAATTGACCATAAGTCTGTGGGTTTCTTTCTGGGCTCTCTGTTCTGTTCCATTGAGTCATATGTCTGTCTTTGTGCCAGTACCATGCTGTTTTGATGACTGTAGCTCTGTAGTATTGTCTGTGTCTGGAGGGTTATTCTTCTAGCCTCATTCTCTTTCATCAGTATTGCTTTGAAAATTCTGAGTCTTTTGTGATTCCATATAAATTTTAGGATTATATGTTCCAGTTCTGTGAAAAATGTCCTGGATAATTTGATAGGGATCGTATTAAATCTGTAGATTGCTTTGGGTAGTATGGCCATTTTAATAATGCTAATTCTTCCAATCCAAGAGCATGGGATATCTTTCCACTTCTTCAAGTCATGTTTAATTTCTTTAATCAATGTTTTGTAGTTCTCCACATACAAGTCTTTTACCTCCTTGGTCAGATTTGTTCCTAAGTATTTTATTTTTCTGGATGTGATTTTTAAAAGGGATCTTTTTCTTTACTTTGCTTTTCTGATGTTTCATTATTAGCATCAAGAAATGCAACTGATTTCTGTATGTTACTCTTGTATCCTGCTACCTCACTGAATTCTTTTATCAGCGCTAGTAGTTTTTGTGTGGTGCCTTTTCACTCTTGATAGTGTCCTTTGAAGCACAAAGTTTCAAAATTTTGATGATGTCCAATTTATCTTTTTTTTCTTTTCTTGCCTGTGTTTTTGGTGTCATACCCAAACAATCATTGCCAAATCTAATGTCATGAAGCTTTTCCTTTATGTTTTCTTCTAAGAGTTTTATAGCAAGTCTTTAGATTGACATCAATTCAGTAATTCATTAATATTTTTCAGTGTACTTTTGTAATCACTTATAAGTCTGCTGTCATCCAACTCACATTTTCCATCTACCCGTTGAGCAATTAATTCTTTTATTCATCCTTTTAATCAGTGCCTACAAAGCTAGGAGCTATGGATACAGCAGTGAACTGCTCAGGAGAGGTCCCGCCCTGCCCTCACCAAGCTCGTAGTCTATTAACTGAAGAAGTCAGACACTGAACAGCGATTACAAGCACAACTCTGGCATGAAAGAAGGAAAGGCAGCTGCTGACATGTGAGACTGAGAAACAGCAACTAACCAAACGGATTTTACCTCATTTCTTGGGACTCTCTGACTTACTGGTCTTCTAACCCTCTCCCACCAAAAAAGAAATAGGTCACTCAACTGCCCATTCTTAACGGCCATCACTGCTTTCTTCCCTAAGTGTGCGCAGACTTGTACTTGTTCAGAGTCCACTCTGGCTCTGCTGGAGGCCAACGGGCTCGTGGTCTGCAGATTCTGGAGTCTAACATTTCATGGGTTTTAAACAACAAGGACCACATTTGCCTTTGTATGTTGGCTCTCTGAGCCTAAAAATTTGATAGCATCTTAATTTCTCAGAGATAATTCTCTGAAGTGACACTGGTAACTTCCTTATGTACCTTGGGGTATTACTCGCTGGATATGAAGAGCTGAAGTCATTAAAAGCAACCAGGTGTTATGTGCTCACCTCTTGAAGGGCATGATCCCTCCTAAACATGTTTGGCCATTTTTGACTTGAGGTTCGGTTCCATTTTTAGGAAAGACTTATAAGGAAGGAGAGGAGGATTTGGAGTTCAATGGTGTTCTGCCTGTCTCCTCTACTAAATCCTCTCCCCCAGATACCTAGGATTAGATTTTACTTCTTCATTTTTTTCTCAGAATACAGCTTAAAAGCCCGCGGCTTCCCCTCCGCACCCCAGCCCAGCCCAGCCCAGCCCAGCCCAGCCTCAGGTGTCATGGATAAGAACTGGAGTAGCTGGGGAGAAGTGCTTGTTAGGGGTTGAGGAAGGTGCTGAGTATGAAGTGACGATGTGGCATCTGTGTGTGGACAGCTGGAAATAAGGACAGAGGATGAGAGATCTGGACCGGCTAGGGAGATGTGAATCCCTCCACGTGGAGATGAGTAGAGAACATCTCTCCGTGGGCATGAGGGAAAAGAGAGCCGCGTGGAGGGCTGAGAACTAAGTCAGGAAGGACTGGCACAGGCAGAAGCGGGAAGAAGTTCCAGTGAAAGAAACTGAAATTCACAGAAGCAGAAGAACACTGAGAAATGGTCGCGCCCACCTCTCATGTAGCTGATGAGGAGATGGTTGTTCAGATGAAAAAGAATCAGTCACTGGAGTAGCTGCAAAGGGATAGAGTTGTATAACTCCTGAGCGGGTGGGCAAATGGCTTTCAGGAAAGAGGAGGTGGGCCACAGGGCCAAATTTACTGAGGAATCAAGGAACGTGAGGAGGCTAAGAACGGGTCTCAGAAGTGACTGAAGACCAATGACGCTTTGGCCTTCCAGAGTACAGTTTTGGTAAAGCAGAAGAAAAAATAGAAGCCAGGTTGCAAGGGTAAGTATCAGGGGAAAGGGTCTGAGTTGGGACACAAGGAGATACGGAGTTACAGACACGTGGTAGGTCTGGCAGTACTAGGCAAGAGAAATGAGGTGACAGCTAGAAAGCAAGCAGAAATAAAGTTTAAGAGAATGAAAATATTACTATTTGAAGACAGAAAGGAAGGAACCAATTGGGTAGAAGGGATTGAGGATGCAAGGGGACTCCTGCCAACCTTGGCAGGAAGATCACAAGAAGCAGAAGAGGAACCAGAGTGCAGGTGGAGGGAAGCTGTGGAGAAAGGAAGAAACTGGAACGTGAAAGGAAGACGGGACCACAGGTGGTGACGGAGACAAAGCAAAAGGAAAGCCACATCCCGGAGGACGCGCGCGGGGATGTGGGAGAACACCCAGCTGGCCTCGAGGTCAGAGGTGGGAGCCTGAGCCCTGCCTCTGCCTCTCCCTGGGTCGTTGACTTGGACCCCTGTGAGCCAGCAGCTCTACATCTGAATGTCACAGAGTTTTTAATGAGACTGATACCAGGTAACATACGTGCATGTGCCTAGTACAAGCTGAGTTACCAGAGCATTTTTGAGATTCATCCCAGGACTCGCAATGCAAAAAAAAAAAAAATCTGAAATGGCTGCTCTAGTGAGTAAATTCAAAAGCTCACAAGATGTGTGCTGGCTGGGCAGTAGGCAGCTTCTAGCTAGAGCTGGAAAATTGTGCTGCTTCTTTCAGAAGAAAGACCCAGGGAGCCTTCCCGCCGCCCTCCTGGCACTTAAAGGTAACACAGAGAAGCCTTAGAGAGCAAAGCTCCGGAGCAGAGATTCCGAGACGGGATGGATGGTGGGGGCAGGAGCAAGAAGGTGCTTCCCAGGGCTGCTGTTCCTGGAGGCTCGCAGTCCCACGTGAGAGGCCCGGGTAATGGCGACAACACTTTCAATAGGGTTACACTGAGGTCGCCAGGTTCTCAAGCACTGCCCTCTTCTTTAAAGTTCAGAATCATCAAATTAGAGGACGAAACCCCATCCGTGACCACATGAAAAACAAACTGAGTCCTGCCTCTGACTAAGGCTGTTCACAGGGGATGAAGGGTGCTGTGGCCTCACAGGGCCACAGGTTCCCAGGGTGGGCAGAGGCTTTAAAGTCTCTGACACCTGGCTGATGGTGTGACCCTTTACAACACTCTGGCTGAATGCTGGCGTAAGCTTAAAATCCTCCCGTGACAGGAACACTTAGAGGTAGCCAGGTCCATCCATGGCAGCTCTGATTAGTCCAAAGTGTGTCCTTATATTGATGTAAAGTTTGTATGTCCCATAGCTGGAATACTGGTCTGAGCGTGGTCCTTGGGACCCACATAAATTAACTCTTTGATGTGCCCTCGGCCCCTCCATGCCTCTCCCTGATGGTCCTTCTCCAGCTGACATGTCTGTCTCCCTCTGCTATCAGGTCTGGCTCTCAGATCCGAGCGCAGATGTCTGGGTGTGCACCGAGCCGTGCGGGATAAAGCGGGACCAGCACTCCCTTCACCCCAGGTACCGGCGCAGCCACGGCACATGTGGGATTTTGAGGAACACAGCATATTATTGATTCACACTGAGCAAACTGCTCACGACGACCCCTCTCCTGTTAAAGGCAGTTGATTGTGAGATCAAGAACTCTGTGTTCATCCCCAGTAAGTTCCATGTGGTAATATCTGGCCCAGGACCCAAAAAAGGTAACACGGACACATCTGACACGCTTGCACCTATTCATTCATTCACTTCATTCACGCAGTCAGTCAGGCATCCCATACGCTATTCCTCCCGGCCTTGTGCCTTTAGTGTATGTGACCAGCCTGCACTCTATATGTTTATTCAGTTGTATTTTTATGCAAACCATTGAAAATATGTCCAGAGGGCAGAGGCCTACCATACAACATGAAACACCTCCCTGGAGAATGACCACTGAATTGCTTTATTAATTCAGCAAATTCACTCGATTAATGTGTGTTGAGGCCCTACTATGTGCCAGCTCATGATCTATGTGCTGGAGAAACACACAGCAATAAACAAACCAGACGAGGGTCCTGCTGATCACAGCAGGGTGGGGGGCAGAGGAGAACACGTTTACCACTGCTCACGTAGCTAATGCTTACTGTGCGTTTCCTATGTGCCAGGCACTGCTCTAAACGCTTGACATGCTTATTCTTCACAAAATCTTATGAAGTAAATGCAGCACTATCGTTATTCCCACTTTGTAGATTAAGTGCACTGAGGCACAGAGGAGAAAGTACACTTGCTCGAGGTCACACAGCTCCTAAAAGGGTGGAGGACCAGGCCAGGCGGTCTGGCTCCAGGGCTTGTGTCTTTAACCACCGGGTTTCTATTGTGTGTCTGCAAAAGTAGACGCTGAGTTAAATGTACACACAAACACGTAAGGCGATTTTCTCATATGAAAAGAGTCATCTTTAAGCTGAGGTCTGAATGACAAGAAGGAGCCAACATCTCAAGAACTGAGGGAGGAGTGAGCGGTGGGCAATGAGGCTGGTGAGGTGGGCAGAGAGCCTATCACGTGAGGCTGTGAGTTCCTAACTGCTACAGGATCTCAAGCAGTTAGGAATACGCCTAATCACCTCGGCAGCCAGCCTACGGCGCCCACCTTGTCCACAAACAAACCAGGCATGATTTCCTTTCCTAATCCTACCCGTGATCAGAGATGCCCCCCTTTACAGTCCAAGCATTCCCTTCCAGCTGTCCCAACACTGGTGAACATCAAGACATGCTCTGGACCACCATCAGGACTCAGCAGCCATTACATCTTCATTGCGCTGTGTGACCTTGGCCAAGTCATAGCCTCTCTGATCTTCCCCGTTGCTCCATAATGTTGCCCCAGTCCTAGAACTGAACCACTAGGGTATCAAGCATTTGGGGACACTTTGATCTAGGGAGCAATCACTCTCTCACCCTTTCCCCTTCCTGATCCCTTCCACCCCTCTCCCCACAGGAACCAGGTAAGCTGTGTCTAACGTAATGCGTGTGGCTTCAGTTACTAACAGCTCCAGGGACTGCTCTCTCATCTCCCAGAAGCCCTGCTGGTTTGACCCCATCAAGTTCTACTTACCCAAGTGTTATACAACCCTCCCCTTAATTACACACTCAATCAGCTCCTCCCGAGCTCAGCAATTTGTGGTCTCCGGGCATCCCTGGCTGCTCTTCTGGAGGGAGCTCCCAGGCTGGGCCTTGGCGAGCTTCTGAGGCACCGGCTGGGTTTCTAAGGCCATGGCGCCCAGAGTTGAAAGCCTTGCTGCTATTTCACACTCTATTTCCTTCCAAATTAATTCTCTGATGAGTACTGTCCTTTGCAGTGATTCAGAGCAGGCCATTTCCTTACATCTTCCCTTCACCTTTGAGACTTTTAATCTCTCTCGAATCCAGGTTTTCCTGTGGAAAGCCTGCCTCAGGGGAAAATGCCCTGCTTCCCAACCAATATAAACAGCCCCGCCAGCCCAGGCCCAGGCCCACGGCATACTTCCTCCACCGGTTTGCCTGGGCCCTACCTTTGATTGCAAAGCACACGCCTGCCTTCTCTACATATCCCTGCACAAGGAGCGACTCAAACTTCTGGGCATACAGTAAGCTGCCGAATTCTAGTTTCTTTCTGTTTTTTCTAAGGTTTTTTTTTTTAAATTGAAGTATAGTTGACTTACAATGTTGTGTTAGTTTCAAGTGTACAGCAAAGTGATTCAATTATATATATATAAAGAATACATATAAGACAGAATATACACAAAGAGTATACAATACATAAGAGAATACATATTCAATTATACCTATAAAGAATATATGTAAGTATATATATTCTTCTTCAGATTCTTCTCCATTATAGGTTGTTAAGAGATACTTAATGTCGCTCCTTGTGAATTCTAGTTTCTGTAAGCCCCAGATGCACGAAGATGCAGCTTCAAAGTCCGTACTTAAGCAGCTGCCGTGTTCCCGACCCCCTCGTAGTTATGTCGCTTCACGCGCTGCACCACCGGCCCCTCCTGCCCGCCGACCGCGCGTCACCCTCAGCGTGCAGATCAGGACGGACCCTGCAGTGCCCAGAGGCGTGCCCGAGGCCACAGAGCCCGGGGACGAGGCGGAGCTGGAATTGAAGTCCTTGACCCTTTACTCTAAGGTGGGCGCGCCTGCTCCACCCCATGTGTGGCTTAAGCGCCCCTAAAACGGTCGCCGGGATCCTCCCGCCAACGGCAGGCCACCCAGGACGGCGCGCCCACTGCCCCGGCGGCCCGAGAACACCCAGAGCAACGCCTCACGCTTGCGGCACGCTTTTTCTGCTACAAAGTGCTTTACGTGCCCAGTCTGTGCGAGCCCTGCGAGGGCTCATTCCGTGAGGGAGGCACTATTTATTGGAGCCCCGTTTTACAAACGAGGATGTCCAGGCTTGTCAAGGGGAAGATAACGGAGCGCCCGGAGTCACACAGACAGCTCCCGCGGAGGCAGCACTTGAACGCACATGGCGCGACTCCGAGGCCAGTGCTCGCTCGAGTCCTCACACATTAGCTCGATGTCCGCTTCACAGACGGAGACTGCGAGCCAGGCACCACCCCTCTTCCCCCGCCCTCCCCTCCCCCCGGGAAGTGAACATTTCAACAGCCAGGTGGGCGGTAAGGGGCGCAGCGAAGCGTGCTTCTCCCCTCTCGCCCGTCACCCTCAGACAGCGGGACCGGGTCCCCAGAGGTTGGCAGGGCGGACTGGGAGGGCCAGGACTGCATGGCCGGTCCCCTTGGCCACTAGAGGGCAGGGTCTGAACGGAGCGCAGAGCCCTCTCCCCAGAGATTCCCCAGCCAGCCAAGGGGTCGTGACTCTCCCCGCGGACCCACATGCACAGCGCACACAGCTCGGACCCCAAAGCTGAAGAGCGATACTTCCCAGGCACACGGTAAACAAAGCGTTTGTTCTCAGCCCCTCCCAGCCTCCTCTGCAGGCAGACGGGCAGAGCCCTACAGGGTTCCGGCTGAGCAGACGGGTCCCAGGCATCACTTGCAAAGACCTGCGTTTCTTACAGAAAACACAAACGGGCCAGCACGCTAAGGGCCCGCGCGCGAGGCCCGGGCTGGGGTGGGATGGGAAGGCGGACCTTTCAGTCTCCGTGTGCTTCCTGCCCTCCGTTTAAACCATCCGTGTGAAACTATTAAAGGTCAGCACACAGCAGTGCCTGGCCTCGTCTACTGACCGCAGTGCCCACCAGAGCCAGGGGCTCTGGGTGGGACAGGCCGTGAGGCGCCCGGAGGTTGTCAGGTGAATTCCGGTGGAGTGGGCCTCCCCCAGCAAGCCCGGCCGAGTCGGGGAGAGGAGTGAGCGCTCTGCTCTATCCCGGGAGCCCCTTTCCTTTGCCATCCATGGGTGGGCCCCCCTGGAAATTAATTTAACCTTAACAGCACTCATTTTAAAAGCATTAAGAGGAAGGAGCCAAGGCCAAGGACGAGTTAGGAGTCTATGAAGTGCCTTTCAAGGCCGTCCTCAGGACAGACCGTCAGGTAGGCAAATATTAACTTCACTGTTTTGTAGCTGGGGAGACAGAAGCTCAGGGAGCTAAAGGACCTGCCCACAGGCACACAGCGCGGGGAGGCGCCGGAGCGCCCCTGCGCACGCAGGGCGGGTCGAGGGGGCGCGCTGCCCCGGGGCGGTGGCCTGGGGGCGTTC